CGAAAAACAGATGAATGCAACAGTTCCATTGGAGGTGTGATATGGAAGATGATGAGACAAAGAGAGTGCTGAGACGCGTGCAAATGTATATCGACGAAGATCCTGCAAATCGTATATTAAATAAATCTAAAACTATTTTGATAAGAATTCCAAGTGTAATCTTAGTGTTCCTTTACTTTTATTTCGGCAATTAAGATCCACAATTCTCAACAAGAACAGCTGGACATTACGTCACTTGTAGACTGTAAAGGTTTCTTCATTCCTGGCAAGTTTATGCAAAAGTGAACGTAATGCACGTATAATAATTTATATATATATATAATAAAATAAGATATTTAAGATAAGACAACATATAAAATATTTAAGATTAGATACTTGTAGCACTCATGGATGAAATTCCATTACATTATACAAACTCATAAGTATATGAAAAATTATACAGCCGAAGCTATAAAATCATAAAGCAATACATATTAGTTTCTACTTTAGATACCTAAGTTTCTCAATAAACCTCTCGGAATCATCGAATTACACCAGACTTTAATTTAAGAAAGAAACTTTTACTTTCGCCAAAATAGAAATGTTATCTTTTTCTCAAAGTCTTATCTGTTTCTAGTTCAACTGGATCGAACGACCAAGGATTAAAGAGAAAAAGAAGAAGGAAGCAAAAGACAGTTTTCGGTCAGCCAAAGTTCTGGTTTAATTAAAACCTACTGGTACGATTACTGGTCTCATTCTACGAACGATTTCATTCGATTTTATCTTTTAATTATGCTCGACGATACAAAGCACCGTTCTAGTTGGATCGCTCGAACGTGTAGAACGCGAGAAACGAACGAAAGGAAGGGGGATAAGAAGAAATCGTCGGGCGTGTTTTCTCTGACACAGATTTAACGGAAGTACTTATGCAGCCCGGCACATTTGGAATTGGCTACGCTGCGGTCGCGAGCCTGGGCGGACGTTTATGGCAACACGTGCGTGTCATAAAGAGGGTGTTTCCTCGAAAAAAACATGGAAACGTAGACGGACACGCAGGCGAGCCTATTTCGAAAATATATTCATCCACGATACACGTCACTCATGTTCCTTAAACATTTTTCCAACGAAAGGACAAAAATTTCACTCGAGGTGAAATAAAAATCATTGGGAATGATCAAACTTTTGAGCATTAAGGCGATCTTTTATTATTCTTCAAAATTAAATTAAATTGAATTGAATTCGTTCCTGATTCTTTCTCAAGTTTTCTTGTCCAACAAGAAAAACGATTTATTTTGGAGAAATCAAAGTCTTTAATAAAACATCAATTTAATTCCACTCTGAAGTCGTTAAATAATTTCAAAAACTATGATTTCATTGTACATTGTACTCCAAAATCAATTCTCAGTGTTTAATTTGCTATCTATAAGAAGATTTATTATATATCGAAAAATTTAAGAAACAGGAAAAATATACTAGTTTTCTTATCAGGGTTATCAGGGCCAAGAAAAATATTTCTCATTGATAATAATTTGTTGCAGAAAGAATAATAGCAGACGAAAGAATTCCGTGCAAGCGAAGGCGAGACAGTTCGAGACAATGGAGTTTTTAAGCAAACATTCAATTTCACAGTCGACCGCATGACGAAATTATCAAAATTGTAACAATGCAGCGGGAGAGGCACAATGACGAAGAATCACGCGACAGTCAAAGGTGGGGTAACAGAATGACGTCCACGTAATAGAATATAGCAGCAGAAATTTAATTTTGCCTTACAAATCCTCGGTCCGCGGTTTGTGTAGACAATTACGAGGTAATTGTTAATACGACTTGCCATTTGCGCCAGGGGCAACGCGTTTAAATTCTCGCATTCGTTCATTCGTTTTCCCTTTGCTTGGCAAAACGTTGGGTCTCAATAATCGCGGTCGATTTAAACACTTCGACAAAATTTATTGAGCATACAGATACATTCAAGGCTAAAGCTATTTTTAAAGAAACCATCCATCGTATTGTTTTACAGCTTGGTAATGGTTCAATTTAAATTCCCAAACTTTGGAATTTTCGTGTGAATTTATAAATGTATATTTTTTCATTTTCAAGTGGAAAACTAAAATCAGTCGTTCTACAGTCTGGAAATAGAGCAATTTGAATTTCCAGACTTAATTTTCAAACGTGAAACTACAATTCATCATATTGTTTTTCCATTTAAAAAAAATAGTCGAGTGAAAACTGTCAAATTCTGCTAGTATGTTCATCTCTAAAATAAACTTTTTCAATTATCAAACTGAACTCTTCTAAACGTGAGCTATCAAACATTTCGCTATTGAAATTTAATTCCAATTAATTTCAGTATCGCGCGTGGAATAATTCTGGTAACTGGATTGGTATCTATTTTTAGAAGAAAGGCCTGCTGCATTGTTCTACAGTTAGAAAACGGATCAGCGGAGCAAGGAGAAAATTTTCGATTGATCGGCAAACGGTTCCCATTGGTCGAAGGGGCGACCAGTTTTCGGACGGTCGTGTGTAGAGCTCGTTAACGCGTTCGCGTTCAATCGAATTGAACGGATCGGGCACAACGTCGATTAAAATTCTCTACATTAATTATCGGGCGTTAGATTGGAACGTGAAACGTAGTTAATTGACGGAGAATGAAATTTCGATGATTGCGACGCGGATTGCCGTCGCCTGGTGACAAAATCGATCCCGACAGAAAAATATGGAAACGACGTTCTATCCTGTCATTTGAATATCGTCGATCTAAATTTACGGAGCATGAGGTCACTTGCAATTTGGTGACTATCTTCTTCGCTTAACAGCCTTGCAATTTCATCACAGAAGAAAAACAAGATAACGTGATTTACGTCGATCTTCTAACTTTAATGTTACTCCACGATTAAACAGGAGGATTTTAATGTGACACCACATTTCAGGATAAAAATTCAGTCTCTGAAGTTAAAAAATATCAGTCTTTTAAAAATATTTGGTAAGTTGATAAATTCTTATAGATGCCATGGTATAATTATTAAAACAAGAAATATTTTAATATCTTGCATATTTTACTATTATTATGAACAATATTTTTCAAGTTTTGAAGCGTATAGAAATACACGTTAGCTCCAAAATTAAATGAAAAAATAATTTTGATACTAAAAGGTTTGACCTATCATCTTCTTCACTCTTATTCTTTAATTGGCACGATTAATAAATAATAGTATGTTTAGAAACTGTTAGAAAGCTCGTGCATTCGCTTGGAAATAAGTTCAATTCGTCTAAGTTCTAGTAACTCGATTAATCTAAAGATTTCAGAATTAATAGACGTTCGTCCGTGATTTAAATTCGTATCGTAGAAATATTTTCATACGTGAAAGATATATTTAACACGAGAACAGCTCGATTATTCTCAAAACACAATTATTGGCCGAATATTTTCTTCCCTTTGTTATTGTTACGTAAACAGATACTGTCATCGCGATGGTAAAAAAGAAAGAAAACATTTTTGTCGTTCTAAAATTGACTCGTCACCGAAAAGATGCTCAGACTTAAAAGAATTCTTAAAAAGATGGAGATGGCGACGCCTAGACGGCGCAGAGGAGATTTGCGGGGAAAGTTTGGCAAAATTGAGACGACGCGAACGCTTGATAAACGTATCGTGATTTATGCGGTTCATTTCTCAGGTGGGATTGTCAGAGTTCATATCGTGGAACGAACGCTGGGAACTTTCCACTATTTCCGTGTCGACAATTCGCATCTCGCCGCTCCATTCTTCTTTTCGTTTTTCTTCCTTCTCTTCGAGCAGAAAACGCGACGTTGCTACCATTCTTCGAATACATTCCTCTTTCTGTTACATTACTATTAATTTATACGTCCATTTGAAAAAAAAGGTGAATATGAAAGAAAAAAGGATAGACAGAGTTCAATGGAGTAAAATAGTGGAGTGAAATGGAAAGATATCAAATAACATTCATTTTAAACTTCAATGACATAGAGGTATGAAAACGTTGATACTAATAAAACCAATGAGGCTGATAAAAACGTGTATCAAATTTCGTATAACATAATAATTCACTCAGAGAAATATCAAAAATCATGAAGCTGAAACGCGTATGATTTAGAATCGGGATCACGATCACGTTAGCCGGCCAATTATTTCAAACGATTTTAAGAGGTTTTTTTTATCAAATACGAAGCTCTCTTTAGCTCGTAACTGTCGGAGTAGCGAGTGAAATTTCAACCAGCCACCAATGTATCGACAAGATATCGACCGGGAACGCGAATTCCGAAACGGTGTACAGTTTCTCTCTCTCTCTCTCTCTCTCTCTCTCTCTCTCTCTCTCTCTCTCTCTCTCTCTCTCTCTCTCTCTCTCTCTCTCTCTCTCTCTCTCTCTCTCTCTCTCTCTCTCTCTCTCTCTCTCTCTCTCTCTCTCTCTCTCTCTCTCTCTCTCTCTCTCTCTCTCTCTCTCTCTCTCTCTCTCTCTCTCTCTCTCTCTCTCTCTCTCTCTCTCTCTCTCTCTCTCTCTCTCTCTCTCTCTCTCTCTCTCTCTCTCTCTCTCTCTCTCTCTCTCTCTCTCTCTCTCTCTCTCTCTCTCTCTCTCTCTCTCTCTCTCTCTCTCTCTCTCTCTCTCTCTCTCTCTCTCTCTCTCTCTCTCTCTCTCTCTCTCTCTCTCTCTCTCTCTCTCTCTCTCTCTCTCTCTCTCTCTCTCTCTCTCTCTCTCTCTCTCTCTCTCTCTCTCTCTCTCTCTCTCTCTCTCTCTCTCTCTCTCTCTCTCTCTCTCTCTCTCTCTCTCTCTCTCTCTCTCTCTCTCTCTCTCTCTCTCTCTCTCTCTCTCTCTCTCTCTCTCTCTCTCTCTCTCTCTCTCTCTCTCTCTCTCTCTCTCGCTGTTGCCTTCTTTTTATTTTTTTAATTTTCTTTTTTGTTTTTCATTGAAAAGAAACAGCTTCTCGGTGGGAATATGATAAAGAGAAAGATAGGAAAAGGGTCGGGTAACGAAGCGAAAAAGAGAGTAAGGTGACGATCGAATACCAACCGGAGAGAATCGTGACAGGCAGCAAGGCGCAGATGCCCAAATACACCAGCAACACTGTCCAAGTGTGACGCGGCTCCTGGCAGAAGTCCAGCTTTTTCCCGCTCGGTAGGCCACCGATTCTTGGCCCCTTCATCGTGCCTCGTGCCGCATAGTTTTCGCCTCGGCCACGTAAACGCGAGCAACACGACCGGATTACGGGCCGGCCGATTTAATAATGCCTCCTCCACCAGCGTCGACTTCCTTCCTTCCTTTCTTCCTTCTCGTCTTCCTTCCCTGTTGTCGCGTGACGAGGGATTTCGCAACCAACTGAAAACGGACCAACTTTCCGCCACTAACATTCCACCGTGTACTGCCTCGAACACACGTACACGCGCGAAGTGACTCGTTTTCTTGGTGCACCCTCACATCGTGGACACTTGATGCTCGAACGAACACTTTGCACGAACACTATATGTAGTACACTATATATAGATTGTACACGGCCGAGCTTTGTCGCACGAAGAGACGCTATTTACATTTTTCTTTATTTATGAAAGCCAAAAAAAAAGTTTGTTCGCATGTCGCTGTGAGGAAGATGAACGAGAATAACAGATAAAATCTCGAAGCAGATCCGATGGATTTGTGTATCTGCATGTGCGAGAGAGTATGAGAAAGTATGAGTGTACGCTTGGCACGTGACGTTTTTGCGATGGCTCCGTGCAAAACTCGAGATAAGAGCTCATTTACCTAAGGATGTGCTCCGAGACTAAAAGTTCCTGAATATAGCTTGCCCGAGAATCCAGAAGCTTCCTTCGAGACTCCTTTACAAGAACGACGCGTGGCTTCTACCGAAGTGATAGTTTTTAACTGCATTTTTATCTCTTAATAACGTGCCTGGCGTAGTGCTGCCTGTTACCACGGTATCTCGACGAGATAGAGGCTCGGTACGAGACTTTCGATTAGATTGCAGCTTCTGGAAAATGAAAATCATCGGCGAAATTAATGGGATACCACGTTTTTCGTTGAAATACTGGGCGAGAGAATTTTTTATTCTTAGATCCTTGGTGGTTGTAAAAACGACACACAGCAGCAGGATGTTTGAATATAAAATACGAGCTGTTTGAGTTTAATACGCGGCGAATAGCGTAAGGTTAATTGAATCTAAACGTCTGTAGCGAAAATTGAATGATAATACCGCAAGAATAATCCGGGGACAGAGTTTGATGTAATAGTGCCACGGAGATTTGCTGACACGAATCATTCATATTAATTTTCTAAGTATAAAAAAATTGAAACACTTCGTCCTTATTGTATGGAATAAAAATATACGACTATAGTCCACAAATAAAAGAAAATAATTCGGTCTAAAATTTTACTCACTGCTATCGAACGATATAACGAGTACAATTTTACGTCCCCAACTTGTCACAAACAAAAGTAACTGCTACACGCACATTCTGAATGTAAAAGAGCTAAAACACTTTGTCTGTATCTTCAGTTTCCAATAAAAGCACTTAACTGTGAAGCAACTTCAAACGATAGGAAAATTCAAGAATCCAATAAATCTCTTTCTCTCAACAACTCAACAAACTAACGACTAGATTTCTATCTCTGATTTATCAGAAACGCAAATGACTACTTTCCACGTGCGACCATTACTCACTCCCCTAAAACATAATCTACCAATGAAAAACCAATATTCTAAACATATGTAGAAATCGTTCCGTGTTCTCTCTTTTTCGACAAAAGCATTCGATTATAATGTAAGTTTTCTCAAAAAAAAAAACAAATAGAAGAATCTAATCTTGAGACTCTCACCTACAATTCAACGAGCCAACGATACAAAGTTTCATCCCCAATTTGTCACGGACAAAAGCAACTACAACCTACGTGTATGTGTGAACTTACAACCCCTTTAAAAGTGATCAGGCAACGAGAATAACCGAAGGAGGGTTTCGTCTCGTCAACAGAATTGAACCAAGTCGATCTGGCCTTTGAGACATCAAGATAAACCTGCTTGGAGTACCATTATCGCCTTGGGAAACGGCGTAACCCATTTCCTCGATATCCATAAATTAATCCGATCGTCGGGATCCTTATGCATTTATTGCCGTCACGTTAAGTGGCAGGGTACGCCGTGAAAACACAGTTTACCGGCGGATCAACTCGTCCGGATTCGAGCTAAAGCGAATCCAAGTAGGTAATTACATCGTCTTAATTAATTCTTCAGACTGTCGGCGGACGGCAGTCGGTCCTTTCCCCCTCGTGTTGGTGGCACGAACACGATCATGGGGCGACGACGACTTGTCACGTCGTGAGGACGAGGTAGAGTTATTCGCCGGAGAATAGAACGTTTCTTCGGGGCGAGGAACATTAAATTGCACGTGCAGCACGATTGCACGAGGGTACGGCAAGACACGCTACGATTTTGTGCGTGACTACTAGGGGATGAAAGCAGAAAAAGAGAGACCGTGTGATAAATCTTAATGATCGAACGTTTTCCTTTGCTTTTTTGGTTCTGTTATCCGTTTGATGTGATTTCTTTTTCCTTCTTTCGACAGAAAATCATTCATTTATTAAGGAATGGATTATAACTTCTCCTGTTTCTAATTTTTGTTCGGTTTGTAGTATTGAAACTGATTTTTCTTTTTTTACCTTCGAGATTACGGGGATACATTGCCATTATTTCTTCATCTTTCTATAATAGTACGAAGTTTAATGAAATTTAAGCGCTTTAGGTAGGAGAGATATATTATTTTCTTTTTTAATCGCGAATTTCTCCTTGAGTCTTTGATTTATATAAAATACTTTTTTTCAGTACATTTTTTTAATTTAATCAATATAATAAGTTTATTTACATTTTTCAGCAATGATGCGTTTACTGAATATTTACGTATACTGGTTGTTTCATTATATTTACTCGGTTTTTAATGGATGAAAAAGACAATGAAAATTATTTTTCTGATCATTGATCCGTTTATGGAAGGGAGAGTGGAACGAGAAGGGCACTTTAATCGTTACTGGTAAATATAATTTATCGCGTTGTTTATCACGCGAACGTTCAGTCGTAAAAAGAATTAAACGACGTTTCACGAGGCGGAAACTCGTGATTTTAAGTAGAACACGTCGAATAGTAAAAATTGCCCTGAAAATTGGGTGGGAAGTGGAAAGCTCTGTAACACGCCACGATGGCGCAATTTTTCCATCAAGTTGCTATAAATACAGTCATTTGTCGTTCATCAAGTACATGTAGCCATGCTCTGGTATCCGATAAATCATCATTGATTTAAAATGTTCCGGCGAAAAAGTACGACGTACTCTGCGATAAAATTTGATTTACTGCATCAAAGAATGTGATGCCTCCCTGTGGCTTATCGTGTGTCTTATATTTATTTTAGAACGTCGTCAGGAAAATTACTTATAGCTAGTTGGATCTCGACACCGTCTGGGGACATCGGTGGATCAATTTTTGAAGCGCGCCATGAAACCGACGGGGAGGGTCGCTACTAAGAACAATGACGATGCTGATGCGAGACATTCAGTCGTAAATTATCCCTGCAAGGTATTATTAATTAATAGCCTTGTTAAGTCGCGTCGCGCCGTGCCAAGAGGTGCCACAAATTGGACACCCCAATAAGGGACTGTATCTACTGACATTTTCTATATTATTTAATTCCTTTAAAAAATTATAAGAAAACAGTAAAATAAGACCTTGGACGTAGAACTTCAGCAATTCTTCGCTCTCCAGTATTTGTTTTCTGAGAATAGAAATATAGTTGGAGATGTACAGTGGCTACAAAATATGTTTGCACATACGTTATATTACAAATGTATATTATATCACAAATGTTTGCAAATATTTTTCAATGAAGTATCTTTTTATCAGTTTCTGCATTTTATTTTCATAGTGTGAAATTTTTGTATTTGCAAATTAATTAACGCTGAGTGAAATTAGTATGTAAATGCTGTAATAAACGTACTTTATTTTTGTGGAAATACTCTTTGTTGCCGCTGTACATCGAACTGTGTTTTCCAACAATGACGTCTTATTGTACATCACTGTACAATTTTTTATAAACCTAATACAGCACCAACTTAGAACGAAACTTTTAAGAGATAGCAGGCGAATTTCTCGGCATGGTTAATGCAATTCAGGAAGAAAAATTCGCATAGATCTACGTCTCTGGAAGATCGGGTTTAAAACCGACGAACCGGTAGTTGAAGATATCCGAAGACAAAAAGGAGGATGGGAATTACGCGTCGCACAGGTGTGCACTGTGGAACATAAAGCTCGGAAACACGTAAATCGCGTGGTAGTGTGCGGAACTTGCATCCTGGATGTCGTCTGCGCGTATTCTCGCGTAGACGTATGAACGCGCGAACTACGACCACGCTGGGAGTAACGAAATTTTCAAGAATGACCAAATTAAAATGCAAAGGCTTGTACGCTGCGCTGGCTAGTTTCTCACCCCTGGGATAGAGAGAAAAAGTTCGAATTGGAAACTAATGTCTTGGCATAAATTCGGCAAAAATTGACAAAAGTTAAGGAACACGATAGTCAACTTGCAGAGTGTCTGTTGAGTTTTGTTTGAATTAATCGATTCGTATACATTCAACTCGAAACCATTTTATCAATGTGAACTTGTTATTTCGTCTGATTTAATATATTCCATTGAATTTTCTGCGATGTTATATTCCTCGACTTGACAAACAAATAAATAATAGAATGAAAAGTGAAAGAAATAACGATCTGCTCATCTTAAAAATCAAAAGAATTTTAAAAATCCGTTCGCCAGATAATTTAAATTCAAATAATTTCCAACCAACTAAACTTATATGAAAGTTTATCAGCTAAAACAACTTCACTAACAAACTAAACAAGACTTTAAAAACTGGTACCATTAAAAAAAAAAAAAAAACGAAACGATTCAAATTTCAGCGTGCAGATATACGATCGACTGGCAAACAGACACCAAGCAAGGGCCCTTCTGAAATCAGAATAAACGTGGTTCAACGGAAAAAAAGCGTCGAGGGTCGAGTGAACCGTCGTTTTCGCGGAACGGCATATCCATTCGAACGACTGTTCGTCAGGAGCTGTCAAATCTCACGAAATCTCCTTTCGGCCGCTATTTATAGTGAGTTCTGGTTGACGGTAGGAGCTCCGTTCCACTGGCGGTTCGCGCGTGCATCGTTTTGCATTAGCCCTCTCGTTTCTTCCAGAGCCTCCTCTTTACTCCTTCCGTGTGTCGCGTCTTTCGAGTAACGGAGCGAGTGCAAAGCCCTTCTTTCTGTCCGGGCGTACACATAATTACCAAAGTTAATTAGGGCTTTGGAGATGAAAGAGAGTGAGAACGAAGAGCTTGGATGGCGACGCGACCAGGATGTATTAGCGAGCGGAAAGAAGGCAAGGGTAGCATCAAAACGTTGTGAAACGAGCGAAACCGAGCGAGCAAGAATGAAAAAGAGTTTCCCTCGATTTGTGGTTCGTATAATTTATACGGGAGGGAAACTGTGCTTCCTGGAATCAGAGAACCCTTAAGAGAACACGAAAAAATACAGAATAATCCTTCAAGTCTGCTCATCCAATCGTTCTCCTGAGATGACCCGAGATGAATGGTATGTTCTAATAAATGTTATTGAAACATAGTTTTTAACTGTTTAGTTTTGGTATTCGATATAATTTTACCACCTGCCGTGTATTCTACGAGATATCTGAGGAAATACAGACGCGAAGAAGAAGCGAAAAAAGACAGTAGGTCGCAAATTCGAATAAAAATGTTCCACAATTCGATTGTCATTTAAGAAGCTTAGGAAAAAAGATGTACGCTCGCTATCAAGACACGATCAAGTTAGAATCTGGAGAAAACACTCTAAAACGTGTACAGTACTGAGGAGTCTGTATATTGTGAAGAAAAAAAGAACATTATCCTACACTGCAGAAAATGTATATTACAAAGAAAAGTTCAATGTAAGTACAATTTAATGGTCAATGAATCAATAATAAATAAAAAATAATAAGATTATAACAAAGTGTGATTTCTGCCTCTTATGTTGCACACTTTTAATAAAATTCAAACGAGCGATTGGTGCGACGTCAAATGATAAAAATAAAAGAATAGTTCAATTTATTTTCCTCTTTCTTTTATTTTCCTTTTCTATAGAATGCCGGTCGGTCGAAGCACATGGAAAGCGCGGTAAAATTGTGCGAACGGAAACGAAATACCATTGAAAGTTGCTGCACTTGGCGTCATTCTATTTCCCAGACGGAAAAATGGAAGGGGCGCGCAAGGGGTGGCCTCGCTGTCCGTCCAACCGTGTAAATTTCACTTTTATTCGCGAATGGCAATTTTTTATTTCGACCTGACTGTTTTTCCAGCGAATGCATTTCGACGCCGGCGTGTTTGCACAAAGAACCACCGTTGCACCGCGTTGCTTCAGCTACACCTATCCATACCGCCAATTTTCCCCCTAACTCACATCCCCTATCTCGCCCGTCAGCACACCGGGTCGTCACCCCTCTGTACCGTGTCCCCGGTCAGCACTTGAGTACTCGTGCAATTGGTTTTTCGTGTTCGAGCCACTCTCGGTGTCCTCGGAATCCTAATTTCGCGTTTTTCATTCGCCCTCCCGTGCCTCGTCCATCGTCCCATGGAAAGCAGTCTCGTCATCCGACAGAAACGAAACCACCGGCCTCTCTTCCCGCGATATCTGACGGCTACCGCGATTCTTTCTTTCTTTCTTTCTTTCTTTTTCTTTTTTTTCTTTTGCGGTCAAAGTGAACAGAGAAATGAAATAAAAACGTCCTGCCGCTGGCATCGTAATCGGTGAATCGACGATATCGTTCTATCGCGTATTGTTTCCGCGAACGGGAAAAAGGGAAACCGATAAAGCTTCCACGTGACTTTACCTCGGCGTCTGTTTATGCTCGTAAATTCCAGGAGAATTTTCGACATTACGAGGAAACTTTTCTGTCGCTGTATGGCATTCCTCGAATCACTCGCACCGTTGTCTATTATAAAAGGAACACAGAAACACTGGTAACGAAAATTCCTCGCGTTCTTCAATCATCGTACCGAACGATCACCGCCGTGGAACGAATTGTAAATCGAAAAATCACGTTGTACATCCGAGAAGGTACGCTAGTTCTTCAGGTGAAACGTTGGATTTCGCGATGGTATCGATTGAAGAACAATCGAAGGGAGCGTGTATGAGGCGCGTGGTACCGGCATGGGCGTGTAAGAAGCACTAAATTCTGATGCCCCGCGTCCGTAGCTAGCCGGCCCCTCTAACAATAAACTTAGGTGAGAGACGAGAGACGAGCACGAGCACACGCAGACAGAGCGGAGAAACCGCACGCGTGACAAAGCGGCGCTCGTACGCGCGGTGTGCGTGCGTCAGCCACACTAGCTGGATCGTGGATCAACCACTCGAGACCCCGAGATCTATGGTGTGGGAGTGTCTCTGCGGGTATTACAGTGTGGAGGAAGCCGTATGCTGATCATCTGGACTCGTTTATTGGGCATTAAGCGTGTCGGTGTCGTTCGTGAAAGCAATCCGCTCCTTTCGACGCGGTTTTTTGCTCGCTCTTTTAGTGCTGCCACAGGGAAACGATCTCTTCAATGGAGGAAGTTGACGAAACCTTTCGACTTTGAATACAGGAGATTAACCCATAAAAAGTATCATTGAGTTATAGATAATTATAATAATTTATGTTGAATTATTGAAATTTAGAGTATAATTTCAATTTGTATTTTATATTCTCCGTATGAGAGATTGGCAATGAAATTGTGTTAAATGAAAGATTCAAAAATTAAGTGATCTAACCCTAAATTGTTATAGTTTGCAATGGACCCAGTGATACCAATTAAGAGTTGAATTGGAAAGAAAAAATTGTATGGAAATACTGACAGGGAAACTGAATAGATTAAAAGTATGGAAATGTTGGTGTTCATGGTGCAAACATTAAATTAAGCTCCGGATTGACATAGAACCCATTTATAGAACGCCCACGCAGCTGCCAGTCGCGCGCGGACTGCACAAAACCTCCCGAAATACAGTCGTGAGCCGGAGCAATGTTTGTTCCTCCGGTACGACATAAAACAAGCCGCGTGCTTTCAATTTGGGATTCCTAACGAATTACCTGTCTCTTGTGCGCGAGTACGGAAGAAGATGTTAGCGAGAATACTCTTAGGAAGTTGAAAGTGGTCCAGAAAGTGTTTTACAAGTAGGTGACATCGAACCTCGACTTTAAACATCTTACTTTGAGTGAAGACCTAAATGCAACCTATTACAATATTTATGGATTTCTATTAAAACACCAGAATCAACCACATGACGTCGAAATAAAGATAGATGGTCAGGAATTTATTTTGGGACTCGTCAGCTTAGTTTATAGATCAACGGAATGAAACCTAATTCAGGGAAGATACATAAATTTTATCGGTTTCATTTTAATGTATATTCTATACAGTTATTTATGGCAGCTACTAATTACAGACTAATGCGAATTTGAGGTTTCTTTTATCTAAAAAATGATTTTTATGAACTTGGTCAATTATGTAAAGTGATTCATATACTTTGCATGTTCTACAAAGTTCTATATTTAAATTCCCCATAAATACCCCAAAATGAATTATTAAACACATTCTAACAATTAGTTTCTAAGAAGAATCAAGCACGATTAACCACAATACCCTGTATATATTCCCACATTCTTTAGAAAAA